ATGTTTTTGTGTAATAATCTGAAATTTTATTCTCACTTCTAGATATAAACATTGTTTTTGAAATGCATCCATAAGATGGCTTTTTAATATCAAGAGCATCTTTACTTCGAGAAAAGTGTTTTCAAGTGAACTTTAAAACATTTACTTTAGAAAAATCTTGATATTTATATGAATAGCTTATTGGACAAGACATCACTGAACAACAGCGTAACCTTGCTAACATGGTGGCAAGAACAGAGCAGTACAAGCGCAAACACTTAGAGCTGGGGCACAGAGTTCTCCAGGTAAGCAAATGTACTATTACCCTTGTACCTCTTTAGTTATAATTCTTGCCCAGTGCACATTGAATAGCTGAATAATATTATAAAAATAAGAACTTTTAAGTTTTATTTTATTACATTTTCAATATTGCATGACATTACATCTCTTTAACAAGTGTAAAATTGATAGTTTGATTTTAATACTACATTGAAAAATAGAACTCCTCTGTTTTGACTATTTATCTTCAGTATCATGTATTCTTAATATGTGCCCTGTCATCAGTCAAATTCCTCAAATCTGCAGTGTTAATGTATGTGCTAAGTATCTTTTTTAAACACTGCAATCTTTCCATTGCCCCAGGTGATGGTTCGTCAGGAGATCTACAGGAAGCTGGGCTATGCCATCCAGGCAGATGAAGAACAACTGAGAGTTCAGTTAGAAGCTTTGCAGGGGGAGCTGAATGCACCCACACAATTCAAGGTGATCTGCGGCAGTAGCCATTAATATATCATGTAGTACTGGTTGTCATGGGCAAGGAACTGTGCCCTGTGATTTACTCATTGGGCAATTGGCTAACAAAAAATTATTGAAAACTTAATTTTCCATTTAATAATATTTGCGTTAATTTTACTTTCTCTCTACGAAAAATGAAACTGTGTTCTTTAAAGATTACAGGTAGCTATATGGTAAATTTCACAACAATTTCAGAATTTTGAAACATTAGACTAGTTTTTGCACATAATTTTATATAAAAGGACATTGGATTTCTTTTTTGATTGCTAAAGTATATCATACTTTTCTATTCAGGGACGCTTGAATGAGCTCATGTCACAAATTAGGATGCAGAACCAACTTGTTACATCAAGGAGTGAGGCCAATTATCAGTTGGATACTGCCATGCAGTTAGAAATAAGACAGGTAGGCCTTTGGTTAGAATAATGTGCACTTGTTCATATGTAAAGATGTACATATGCATGTAGGAGCATCTGTTCTCTATACTGTTGCTACCTTCATTTTTTTTTTTTTTTTTTTTTACANTACGAAAAATGAAACTGTGTTCTTTAAAGATTACAGGTAGCTATATGGTAAATTTCACAACAATTTCAGAATTTTGAAACATTAGACTAGTTTTTGCACATAATTTTATATAAAAGGACATTGGATTTCTTTTTTGATTGCTAAAGTATATCATACTTTTCTATTCAGGGACGCTTGAATGAGCTCATGTCACAAATTAGGATGCAGAACCAACTTGTTACATCAAGGAGTGAGGCCAATTATCAGTTGGATACTGCCATGCAGTTAGAAATAAGACAGGTAGGCCTTTGGTTAGAATAATGTGCACTTGTTCATATGTAAAGATGTACATATGCATGTAGGAGCATCTGTTCTCTATACTGTTGCTACCTTCATTTTTTTTTTTTTTTTTTTTTACAGAAGAATCAGCACAATGCATATCTGTTATCAGAAACTAACAGCAAATGTTGATTAGTGAGATTAAATAAGATGTCATTGCACATCATGTTTTTTTAAAGAAAATGAGATGGAAATTAATAATTTGTTTACGTCTTTTTTCCAGCACTTGAAACAGCAACAAGAAGGACTGCAACATCTTATCAGCATAATTAAGGATGATATGGAGGATTTGAAGTTAATAGAGCAGGGGTTGGTTGTTGATGTTAAACAACAAAAAAGGTGATCTCAAAAGACCTGCAAGCTACCAAAACAGAACACAAAACAACCAATGAAGAATGAAGACATTTTCTTTTGTAATAAATGGATCTCTGAGAACCAATATATAGCCACAAGATAGTGAAAACAAAGCAAAGATGGCATAGTTTCAATGTAAAAGAGAAATAATGAAATATGACATCACTGAAAACAGTAAAGATTGTTACAGATTCTAAATGAAAGTTAATGGTGACATGTATTTATATAGAAATAATATTATACATGATAAATGTGAAGAAGTGACAAAGCCCTTTATTTTATTTATAGTGTAGCATTTCAGTAACAAACACAATTGAAATAATGTATACCATAAAAAAGTGACTTTTGTTGGTGAATTGTTTTATAATCTCTGTATGTTTCATGGCAGTGTGATAATATCAAAACAATTACTATTCCAAGTTTTTAAGAGCTTGCTTCTTTTTGTATTGTTTGACATTTTGACTGATCCAAGAATGCTTTTGTTTTTAACTTGCACATGCTTTTGAGAAAAAAAAGAATTTTTGAAAAAGAAATATGCATTGTGCAAAAAATTCTTAAAAGATTGTTGTATAGTTTTACATATCAGTGATCTTATAAAAGATGGAAATGTTATTAACAAGATTTCATCTAACCATCATAAAACTTGGTTTTGTGGGTCATTTTTACAGAAAAAAACCATCCAGTAATTAAAAGACAGTTTTGTATTTACAGTTTTATTTATTTAATGTACCATACGCATAATTTGAGTCACACTACAGATACAAATGGCAGCATTCCAAGTTTTCAGAATTTCTTTTAATGCGACTATCAGACCCTCCATTACTATAGATTATGATACATTCAGAACGACACAGATGTCATAAATATTTTCAAATATAAATTATATTTGGAATTGTAACATTTTTAATTCTATAATGACTACTGTAACAAAGGCCCTGTATCTGCCAATTTGAAGGACTTTGCCTTAATCTGTTTCCACACTCCAAGTAATACCAGTACCTTAATATTTTTCCATAGGAACACTTAAACAGTGTGGTAGTATCTTGATCCTTTAAACCTTCAAACCTGGGTAATTCTTGCCTTGTTGCATGTTTAAAATATAAATGATAAGTTGCTGCTTGTATTTTGTTCTAGTTCTTCTTTGCAGCTGCTTGTTCACCATACAACTTTGCTTTATCTGGCTGATCATTATCTACTGAGCATCTTTTTACACTCGATTTTTCAAAATATTTTGATGCAGTTAGAGTTCTTTTTATTTTACAATATACTTTTTCCATCAATGATCATTCATATTCTCATGCTGAGAAAATTATATTTCATTTAATAATAAAAGTTTAAATAAAGATCCATGACTATGTGAATGACAGAATGCATGGAAAAAGTAAGCCAATGAAAAATATTGAAATGACCTTGACAACAACTGTCATTTGATTGGAGCTAATATCTACAAGCAGTCATTTCATGTCCGCACTTGGAACTTTCCAGCTTTTGTGATGTACTTCACACCTTTGAATGGTTTGTATTTCTGAAAACAAGCAAATGACAGTAAGTTGGAAGACAAATCTTAAAAACATTTTACTTTTGGGAATATTGAAACCTCAAAGCTACACTGCTATTGACTATTTTCTTAAACATGACTTTCAGGTTTTGGACTCATTTAAATGCCAAAAAGCTGACAGTGACTACACAACACTCAAAAACTCAAAAACTGGATTTATTTGAAAGTATTCCTAAGGAATGCAGCATGATCAAACTTAAGAGTGAAAGTGAGGGCCATCTGATATGCTAAGGAGTGCCCTACAGCTTGGGTAAAAAGGTTAAAAAAATCCTCACCCTGTCAACTTACCTCCCCATACATATCCAGCCTGTTCACCTTTAGTCCCGAGATAGCCATCTGGTTGATAGTGAAATTCACCTGTAATCACATAGTGAAAATTTAAGAAAGTTTCTTTCAATTCATGCACATTTTTACAATGTTCTTAAAATATATTTTTAAGTGCAGTGCTATACCCAAAATAAGAACATTTTTAAAAAGTTTACGAAAAGATAAATATTGTCAAAATGTAACATTTTGGATCCCATTAACAGCAGTTTCTGAGAACTGTTTATGATGAATCTTCTTAATACAGAAAGCTTTAAGTTTACGCCAAATACCTTGAGTGATAATTTTCTAAAGAAATTCAATTTTCAGGGTAAATGCATTGATAGACATGCACAAGGGATACTCACAGATATGGTAGGGTTTGACTCTGGAATAGGTGCACCACTTTGTAAACTGATCTGGAAAGGGTTGCAAGAAACATAATTACCATGTACCTCATTTGTTCATACTCTATAAAGATCATGTGGCAAATCAAAAAAAGATAATCGAATGATAAAACATTTTGATATTTTCATCTGAATGGAGTGTCACTTAGCTGTATTGTTATCTAACTACTCAAGCATAAGCGAATGCTTGGGTGTAGAAACAATGCAATAAACTTAATGATGGCATAACCTAGACTCGTATGGGTGTGACTTAAACTACTAGGAAGCTTGTATCTAACTTTAAACCATTCTCTTTTAAAAACCAGATCGAAGACGAGTTAAAACTGGGATAAGAGAGACAGCTCTGAAGTTCTCTTGAAGGTCTTCAGGAAGAAACCCCATTTCGCATTTGAAAGAATTTTAATTTACAGAGGTACTTACAGATCCTCTAATATTTGGCAGTTTTGTTGGGTCTATCCTCCCTATTTCCCACACCATTATTTTGTTCACTGGATCAAAGGTGTATTTGCCTACATTTGGGGTGAGGGTTACATTTAGCACTGACTTCGGGAAGGGAACCTCTAGGGAGACATTTTCCACCTGAAAAATTAAACATAGGAGTTCAACATTTCAGCTACAATGCAGCATATTTAATCAACATTAACAATAAACAATTTATTCATTATGAGAAGGAAAGATACCTGGACGCCTGATGAATGTATATCATAGTTGTGTTAATGCACTGAATATTTCTCTAAATGACGATGGAAATTTAAACAAATTTACTTTTAACAAATGCAGCCAAGGGGCATCCATCATGCATGTACAAAAAGACTTACTGTTTTGCCCATTGTCTGTTTTGGTCCTACTGATACATCAAATCTTCCACCACTCCCCTCTCGAAATGAGATATTGTGTCTTAAGTAAACGGGAATAGCTACCAAACTGAAAAAAAAAAGATAACAAAAACATGCAGTGGGAAAAAATGGAAGTAAAATATATGTATTTTTTTAGCCTGTTTATTACTATTAAGAATTTCAAAGCATTCCAACTTTGAAAGGTAAATTATGACCATCTTTTTTATTTACGTCATTTAAATTAATCCAATACAAAAGACAACACTATAAAATTAGACAACACTATGAAATTTAAAAAAATGTGCATTGCAATTAATTTCTTTGTAATGAGTCTGAGAGGAAAAAAAATAATAAGACAAAGAGAATGTCACTCACTTTTGAGTACCAATATGATATGACATAAGCCTAAAACTGCCATCTGGTGGCACAAATGAAATCACACGTTCTGCCTGAAATGAATCCAGAGTTTCAATATTACAATTTTTTTCAACAAATTAATTTTCTTAATCTAAGAGCAAATAGTCTTTTTTTTTCAAAATTTTAGGGGACTTTGTTTTATCAATCTTTATAATTCTGAATATGAAAGTGATTCCTCGCGACAGTTTCCAATAAAGAAGTTTAAGCCAAATGTGGCCTTTCAATAATCACGATACAATACACTGAATACAGAACACTGAAGAAGTGTAACCCACCTCCCATCTCTTAAACCTCACACATGGATGAAAACTAAGGTCATCCAACAATCTTGGGTTCATGAAGGTCAAGGTCAAATCTGGCATACCACTCAACTTTACAGTCGCATCAACCTGAAGAAGGTAAAAGGGCACAGGGCATGAGAAATTTTGCAGTGCCTGCAAGAAGCCATTTGTGCACTGTGAGTGTGGGAGTTTACAAGAGATTTGTTACCTAAACCGACAGAGGCTTGCTAATGAAAGATGTTTATTCTATAAACTCTGAAACTCAAGGACCAATTGTGCGTTATTCTCAGGCAAATATACTATTATTTGAATATTTTGTCACTAGCAACAGAAAAAAAAAATCAAAAACAAATAAAGGAAAACAATCTTCCATTCGTTTTCTTATCAATCTATGAATCTTTTCATTCATTTATTTAATGATATATTGTTAACACATGTATTTAAATTATTTTATCAGTGCCACTTTCCTTAAACTGGGGAAGATCAACTATTATATAATAAATCAAGTCACTCACACGCCCCTGTATCTCTGCAGCAACAGTCGACCCAGATTTGTCCACAATGGCGTCCACCTCTTCAATGATGTCAAAGTAGGCTTCATTGTTAGTATACTTGACTCCTGTCCGTCTCCACGGGATGTTGGACAGCTGCCCTGTGGGCAATGTGCCACTGACACTGGAAAAATACAAACTCATTTTAGATTTTTAAATTACCTGTAAGATTGGATAATGAAAAGAGATTTACAAAAACATGCCAATGATTTTTCCCCTTCTTCTTAATTTTGAGGTAATTTGAATATCAGTGGACTAATACCGACTATAAATTTTGTGGGAAAAAATTACTATCACAGTAATATCATGTTTTTCAAAGTTTATAAGGGGAAAACCACTCCTAAATGATTTCTTGAACTACTGAATATATGTTTAAGATGAAAAATGTATTACTTACTGTGTCTTATTATAGATGAAAACTTACTTAGATTTTCCTGTCATAGTATTTGCAATTGTTCGCAGAATGTTGGAAGGTTTGATGAGCTCTTTCAAGATGTTGGCCTCCATGGCCAGTGGGAAACCATTGTCCAACATCTCATCAAGCAACTGAAATTGAATTTTTTCAAGAGTCAGAAACAAGTCAATGAAATACAAATGCTAATATTTCTGTCACAATTAAGCAATCCACAAAATATCCCTTACAGATCATATATTCAGTTTACCCTTTGTTTTTTCAAACATTAGACTAATTCAACTAGCAATCTCTCTTGCCTGCCCGTACAATACTTTTCCAATATCTAAATACAGTGATCATACATAATTGGCAGACATTTGGAGACACTCATTCAGGTATTCTTTCATCATGATAGGGTCTACAATATGGACCATTTTCATCATCATAGGGTCTACAATATGGACCATTTGTTTGGTAGCTAAACTGAAATATCAATACTAATGTGAAAACACCTTATTTATTCAATTTAAAAAATGGGTTTTACACTTCAGGTCAATAAAGTTTGCCATCATTGTTCTTTTTTTTTTTTCTTTTTTTTAACAACCAAGGTGACATCTTGTACCAGAGAACCTCTTACTTCATATACAACCACATACTGCTCCTTGATGGTGGCTTCTGAACTGTCTCCAAAATAGTCTTCAAATGTGTCCATTACCCTGTGCAGAAACTCTATCACAAACAGGGGTGGCACTACAAAAATAATAAAAAATAAATTAATAAGAAATACATACTAGAGAAGACAGCAATTTATTTCTAAAAAATAATATGAATATCATCACTAGCATCAGCAGAGTTTTTCACAACTTGCACAATACCACTTGTCAAAAGTAGTATAAAAATGCATGAACAGATTCAGTATTTCATACCTTCTGTAGTGACCACAGCAACAAGATGTAACTGACTTCTGTAGATATTGATAAGATAGTGGTGAGGGGTTGAAATAACGGGGGGTACATCTTCAGGAGTGGCTGCCTGTTGTGAATAATTAAAAAAAAATTATATCCTTATTTACATACAAGACCATTATCCAAGAAGAATTTAAATAAAAAAATATCAATATAAAATGTCTTGTACAACTCTGAGCGTAATTCTTAAGTTTACCAAAAACTTATTCAATACAGAGGCTCTTTTGAAATCAGAATTGGCCGTCAACATGTTTCCTTTTTTTATATCTGTATAAATTTATATTTTGATCTCGATATCCATCCAATGCATGTGCATATAAACTTAAGGCAGAGTCACTGTGCAAAAACAAAAATAAAATGCATGATAATCATCTTTGACACAATGCACTGCATGAGGTGTTCAATTTACCATCTCATCATGATATCACATATGCCTGGCCTTGTACAAAAAAGAAATCTTGAATGACAAACAAAATAGCAACATTTATTTACTGTAGTACAATTATGGTGCATTCTCACCGGACAACCACTTTAAAAATGTGAAGACATCATGCAAGCAGTAAGGAAAATCATGGAGGCACAAAGTGTGGAGTTTTTTTTTTCAAAATTAATAATAACTAAAAATTAATAACTAAATGTTGTCTTTTTAGAAATACCATATGATTGAATAAAAAAAATTGATTAAAAATGATACAAACTGATGCCTTCCCAGAACTGTTTAGAATCTGCCCTCAAATGGCCCATCTAAAGCAATGTAAGCATAAAGAGGTACTGAGATAAACACAATGAAATTGTCTTCATAACCCTGCAGCTTCAAAGGAACAGTATCTTATATATATATATATATATATATATATATATATATATATATATATATATAATGAAAATTAGTTGTTCAGGCATCATTTTTAGTCAGATAAAAATNATATATATATATATATATATATATATATATATATATATATATATATATATATATATATATATATATATATATATATATATATAATGAATATTAGTTGTTCAGGCATCATTTTTAGTCAGATAAAAATGGAAATCCTTAAATGAATATATAACAATAAGATCAATGTTTTCAACCTACCTTGGATTGCACTTCAAAGAAATAGTCACATATTGATCTGTTTATGACACTCTTCCAATGCTTCTCCATAAAAACATCCCTAAAACCAGGAAAATTACACAAAAAAATAATTTCATATCTGTGAGCTTATTTGGTCAACAAAAGCTAAAAATGATGTTCTTATTTATGCACTGTACTGTTTCGGTACAATGTACATATTGGTTACTGTGCTAGGTATAAACCCAACCTGCTATTAGGTTATTTGCTAAAGTTCAAATTTCAAAATTTCAAACACACTACCCTCATTCTCACTTTCAGGATAATTAGACACACTAGCCTTTATTTTTACTTTCGGAATAAGTAGACTTGCTAGCCTTCTTTCTCACTCTTAGAATAATTAGCTTTTGGCATTACTACCACAGCATAAGGGCAATATTCCCCGGTCTGTCTAATTAACATCCAAAAAAAAAATGTCCGCAAGCAAAAAATGGTCGGGAAATCTGTTAATATATACTATATGTATATATAATATATGTTTATATCAGTCCTCTCTAACCTACCATTACGAAAAAGAAGCCATGCCATTGCACAATGCGACCTCTGCGGTTACGTCATTTCCTGAATTGGATTGTAGAGAGGACTGATATAAACATCAGAGGTGGAATTTGGATATACGGTTTGATTGTGCGTATGCCATGCACGGAATTTACAAACGAGCGACGGGATGATGTAGCCTGCAGTATTAGCGGTAAGCGTGCCAAGTTTTAGGCCCCTCCGATGCCCGGCAGTATTTTTTTTCGATTATTATGTTGGAACTGGTTGTTTTTTGTTTCACAAGCTCATTCTATTTTATTGTCTCTATGGAGGTATATGGGGACTTTACGACATTCGGTTTGAAGGCTTTAACCACTTGTTATAGTTTATTTTTGCATTGTGTTGGATTAATGTGGCAGTCTAAGGTTGTCCTAGGTGGTTTTCAAGTTTATGAACCCGGTTTTAATATCATTTAGCGATTTTACGACAATCGTTTACTATCCAATCAAGGTGACAGCCGAGCGTGACTGTGACTGTAGGATGGAAAACAGCATACAGTATCTTAACATGTAGCCTTACTAAACGATAAAAGAAACGAATTGTATATGTAAACTGATTTTATGCTTGTGGACGTTTCTTGACGTTAATCAGACAGACCCATTTTCCCCGTTTTCCCTTCTCCTTCGACAACTTTTACGAAAAACGTGTTCATAATTGGATAACTAAATCAAACAACATCGACGTGGGATACATAAAACAAAAAAAAAAAAAAAAAAAAAAAAAAAAAAAAAAAAAAAAAAAAGAAGTTGCCTGTACTGTAAGAAATTGTAACTTTATCAACATCAGGCTCAACACATTTATAATACATCACTGTCACTATTTAGTGAACAGCTTTGTCAAAATTTGCTAAAACATATAACATACAGTAAAATTTATTAGAAGGGCAATGGACAATCTTACCCAGCATTGTTGATGATGAACAAACTGTGGATCATTGTCCACGGTAATCCTTGTCAGGTGCTTTTTGATAACTTTTTTTGTCGGCAAAATCGACCGAGGAACTTCCGTGGCAAGCTTCACGTGACAGTACCGACTTCCAGCATGTCGCAAGATGCCGGAAGTTACACTTATAGGTATATTTCATAAATAGATTGAAAATGTTAGTCGGATATTGAGTTTTATGCACATAAAACAGTAGTGAAGTTGCTGTAAGTCGATGTAGCTAAAGAAATCATTAAATAAAATTTAGCAATTAGCGACACCTTGTTCCCGGACCATACTTAGCTCGCTTTAAGAGGAACGACAGAACAGACCCACAGATGTCGGGAAACGCGGAAAACGGTACCACAGGCCAAGTAGTTTTACTTCAGAAATACCCGCTTTCACGCCAACCTTCATGCGAATGGTTAAAATGATACTCTCACAAAATAAAAATGGACAGAAGGGGTGTAGGTGGCTGGAGGGACCTTTCAAACTCCCCCTCGATTGCAATTTACCGCACTGTCTTTCTTCTGTCTCTGTAGTGTGACCCAAGTTACATGACGTTGTCAAGAGTCGAACGGCATCTCAGGCCAGGAAGGCTTTTCCCTATTTACTAAATTCAGAACGTCATATAAGACATAATTTGCCCTTGACTTTTTTGACCCAGTGTGAAAATTTTGTATCCTTTACAATCTTGTTGATTTCCCCCCAAATTTCCAGTATTTCTTAACCCTGGCTTATCAACTTTATCCCACCATTGTGTCTGAAGTATCAGATTCTTTGTTTGTTCAATACATGTATATGAACACCATGTATGTATAACAGATATTTCATTGTAAAGTGAGGTCGTGAAGGTCTTACATTACGAAAATTCTAATATTAATTGCTCATTATGGAAGGTAAATAATTGTTACCTCCGCCAAGGAGGTTATGTTTTCACCCCTGTTTGTCTGTCTGTCATCAACATAACTCAAAAAGTTATGAACCGATTTTGATGAAATTTTCAGGAACTGTCAGAAGTGGGCCAAGGAAGAGATGATTTGTTTTTGGTGGTGATCCGGATCAATAATAATCAAAAATCGCTGCCTTGGCGGAGGTCTGCGCTCTCGGAGTGCCTTTCTAGTTGGTAATGTTTTTTTTTTTTCTAAAATGTTACCGTCCACAATAAATAAATAAATAAATAAATAAATAAATAAACCCTCTAAGGCTCTTTAGTAAAGACTTTAGTCTTTTGGCGCAGGTTATCATAGATGGCTAACCTTTGTAATGATCTCTTTTTAGAGATTATTACAAAAACCAAACTAAAAAAATGATGGACTAATTAACTTTGAATGTCGGAATGGGTTCATTTATCAATGGTACGCAAGGATACGAAATCTTCGATCGTTTACCCCATGAAAATTCGTTTTATGGCAGCATTCCTGCAAAAACGAACAGTTGTTATCACTGTAACCTATTAACATTTTATTCTGTTTTATGACAACTAATTAGCTCAACCGGCGTTTTACAATATTTGGCCCAGTAAAAGTTCGCCTATAAATTGCACAATGGACCATTAGGTTTACGCCAAAATAATTATAATACAATTCTTATTGACATCAATTATACTTGTGTGTATGAAAAGTGAAAAAAGAGGAAGAAGTTGCGTAATTTAACTGTGGGAGAAACCCTAAATAATTTATACTCTGCAACAACAGACATTGCGCATGTATTTCAAGGCTTGCGAAAGTTTCTTCCGGAGTTGTAAAATGTGAATTCCATACAGCGTCCGTGCAAAGATAAGGTTATGCGACATTAATATGGGACATTTTGTGCATTAAGGATACTGTAAGCGTTTGCCAAAAAAAACTCCTTATTCACTGTCTTTCATACATTTTTTTAGGGGGGGGTGCATAAATCTTCAGTGTTCAATGACTAAATTAATTAAAATTTACACACGTCATCTTACGGGTGACGTTATAGTTGCCTTTTTAGGGTAAAAATGGAGAAATTGGTTTCTTGAAAAGTGTTAAATTGATGATAAAAGCTATGAGTGACCTTGGTATAGCAAAGTGAAATATAAACGCCGATATTTCACATATTTTACGGGGATTTTTTTATTGTTTTACATCAGCAAAAAGGCAGATGCATAATTGAATAATAAGATGCAGCAGGAACCCCATTTTCGGTATCTGGATGATAATAAACTGTTACAGTGCCCTTAATAATTAAAATATTGTTTCGAAATAACATTAAAAATGAACTGAGTGCAAATATAGAGCAGCTAAATATAGAGTCACCCGTATTATGTTTGGCAGGGCACTTAACGACCTACATATAAAGCTGGCTAGGAGAGTTATTTAAGTTAACTGTTCAATCAAGAGTCAGATCTTCCCATAGTCGAAAGCAGAAGTGCGTACGCCCCAAGAAGTTCTAAGTAGATCAGAATACAAGGAAAAGAAAAACAGTCCAATAACTGAGCATAACACAGGTATTGTATAGAAATGTATGTGCGTGTTAAAATCCAAACAACCTCTGTGTATGTTTTTATTGTTGAAACACCCAGGAGTGAGGTGCAGTTGCCACAGCACACTCTGACTGTTCATGGAACACGTTTTGAGCGTGGGGTTCAACTAACTCTGGCACGTAATTTTTCCTTAAGATACTGGTACATAAGAAGTTAAGCGATGGTAAGTGTGCCGTTTATTTTTAAAATTATTAGCACTAGTACTGATATTTTTGTCGTGCCCTCAAGTAGCTGATTCGTTATTCACCGGAATAACAGCAATTCAAATAACTGCATTTTATTGGGTTTGAAAAACAATCTGAAAGATATGTCGAAAGAAAATTATGCGTAACATTAATTTTTTGCAATCAAGAGATCAAAAGATTTGTCAAATCATACACAAATGTACTATCAAATAATTTGTCCATGTTCAGATGCACGTTTCATTGTCTCTATATCTGTTTCAGGCAAAATGGGATTCTTCGACACTATCAGTAAACTGGGACGCTCGCTGGCTCGTGGTAGTGGGGACTTCTTTCTACGTCTTAATTACATTTACACCCCAATATTTCTGGCAGTTTTATCCCTGCTCAGTCTCCTCTTGATCCTCGTGTACGTACCAGTGCCACCTACTGTCACCTCCTCGTGTTGGACACCTGCCGAGTTTACAGAAGCACACGTCAACTACGCAAAAGCAGTGTGTGCGCCCGACGGACCTGGAGAGAAATACGAATTGCTAGAACCTGGTGATATGAGACAGCCTAACAAAACTGAAATAACAATCCCTGAAACCCCTCGTCTTAACCATCGCATGCCGCTATGGTTTCTCTTTCAAGCTATACTTTTCATCGTCCCGATTTTTTTCTGGAAAGCAGCCATTGGTCGAACTGGTATCAGTGTAAATGACGTCACCCATGACTCGAATGAGAAAATGGTGGAGAAATTCGTGCGTCAATTCGACCAATATTTTGGCAATTTGAAGAGGAAACGAGCAAACTTTTCCTGCGCCCCTTTAGACAATTTGTGTCTTCACATCAACAAGTTCTTTGGGTTTTATCTCATCCTTGTTTTCATCGTGTTGAAAATCTGGTACATTTACAACGTCACTTTACAGTTTAATGTGATGTCCTCTGCGTTGGGGCGGGAAGTTGGACCGTCAACCATTCTGTTCAAAAACATGACGGTGAATACTGTCCCGGAACGGATCTTAGAAAATGCTAACACTACCACCCGCACAACAACAGATACAACCAACAGTCTGATTTACTTGTGTGATTTCTACACCCGTAGATTAGGTAACGTTCACACCTTCAGAGTCCAATGCCATGCAAAGATACAGGCTGGATCCTCACCAAGTCCGTTGATGGACGATCTGTACAAAATTCTTGTCGTGTGGCTATCATTTCTGTTTGTTGCCAACATTTACAGCTTTCTGTCCTTCTTGGTGACAGTCTGTCGCGCACACGTTCCGATCAAGCACCAGCTTCTCTTGGCCAGACTCCAGCCGGAGGAACACCAGCGACAGCTAGCAGATGAATTTGTGGACTCTTACTTGACGCAAGATGGTGCTTTTCTCCTTGGAATGATTGACAAGAACACAAACAAAGGGGTCGCCACGGATATCCTGGAGGCTTTGTGGGAACGTTATCTTACCAAGAAACACGAAGGCGATGTATCTGAGAGTGCTAAAATGTACCCAAATTTACAACAGGTTTAAACAAAAAGGAAACAAAAATAATTATATGTCTTGACATTTAAAACTAGTTTTGTAAAAAAAAAAAATAATAATAATAATAAATAAATAATGAATAAATAAAAAGAAACATGTATCCTAAGATGTATTCTAAATACGTACTGTTTGCTGTCTGTAGGCTATATTTACAAGTTTTGTAATCCAATTTTTATGTCAAATCTTAATGATTCTTTATTAGCATTTAAATTTGTTTCTATAAATATCACATACTCGTATATTAATTTTTTCACTGTTGCAAATGAAATGCAAGCAAGCAGTGCAGTTCGAAGAATTTCAAGGGCCAGTACATATAGGAAATATATTTCCCCGTTTCTTTTATATATAAAACTTATTTTAATATAAATGCAATAAAAATAACCCTTTTAGAATTGATATTAGTTACACGTGTTTGCCAATTATCAAAACACTGGAAAAATATGGGAATTCCGGGTTGAAGACACCAAAATGCAATATGTCGCAATGCAGCTTACTTTTACCCACGCCATCCGTGAAAGTGTGATATTGCTCAATCATCTGAAACATGTTAAACCTTGTGAATGTGAAAGTCAGAGTTGCAAACTTTTCACGGAAAGGTTTTTTGTCTATAGAGACCCACCCAAAGAAAGGCCTGTATTGAGTAAACTTTCGACTCTTTTTTTCACGGCAAGTCTTGAACAGCGCGTATTTACTCATAGGATATTTTTGAAAATAAACAGTGTGGAAATAAAGCACACCGGTTAAATGTAGGTCAATGT